CCCGTCTGAAGTTTGCCAATGACTATCTGGATGATCCAGAGGAGGAATGGGAGAAGGTCATGTGGTATGATAAGACAAAAATATAGCTTTTTGGTCTAAACTCCACTCGCCGTTTTTGGAGGAAGAAGAAGGATGAGTACAACCCCAAGAACACCATCCCAACCGTGAAGCATGGAGGTGGAAACATCATTCTTTGGGGATGCTTTTCTGCAAAGGGGACAGGACGACTGCACCTTATTGAAGGGAGGATGGATGGGGCCATGTATCGCGAGATCTTGGCCAACAGCCTCCTTCCCTCAGTAAGAGCATTGAAGATGGGTCATGGCTGGGTCTTCCAGCATGACAACGACCCGAAACACACAGCCAGGGCAACTAAGGAGTGGCTCCGTAAGAAGCATCTCAAGGTCCTGGAGTGGCCTAGCCAGTCTCCAGACCTGAACCCAATAGAAAATCTTTGGAGGGAGCTGAAAGTCCATATTGCCCAGCGACAGCCCCGAAACCTGAAGGATCTGGAGAAGGTCTGTATGGAGGAGTGGGCCAAAATCCCTGCTGCAGTGTGTGCAAACCTGGTCAAGACTTACAGGAAAAGTATGATCTCTGTAATTGCAAACAAAGTTTTCTGTACCAAATATTAAGTTCTGCTTTTCGGATGTATCAAATACTTATGTCATGCAATAAAATGCAAATTAATTACTTAAAAATCATTCAATGTGATTTTCTGGATTTTTGTTTTAGATTCCGTCTCTCACAGTTGAAGTGTACCTATGATAAAAAAATTACAGACCTCTACATGCTTTGTAAGTAGGAAAACCTGCAAAATCAGCAGTGTTTCAAATACTTGTTCTCCCCACTGTATGTCCAGCTTGCTAATAATCACCGAAATTAAAGCTAGACAGTCAGGGATTATTGAAAATTCCCCAAATGATGGATAAAGGACTATCTTTTGCAAATTTTGACTGTGAGGATTATTTTTTTATCAGTGCGGCCCTCCGGACCTTGTTGAAGACCGAATGCTTCCCCTGGGGCAAAATGAGTTTGATACCCCTGCTTTAGCTTATTTAAGTGAATCAGTTTAGACTGTAATGGCACTCTTATCTGTGATGTTGAACACTGTTTTAGGACAACACTGAATAATCATATTTACTTTCATAAAGTTAAGACCAACACAAATTCTACAGGTAACATTCTTTAGATTCAACCATTCAGAGCAACCTTGAATAATATACTGTACAAATCTTACCATTGGCCCGATGCAATAAAAAAATATGTTCAAGAACAAGAATGTTAATCTAATCAAATGAAATCCAGCCCAACCACACACACCTCGTCTTCCTCCATGCTAGGAAGATGAACAGTGAAGCAAAAGGAGATTTAGCAACCTGTTAAAATTCAACACCCCCATCTCTCCAAGAGAGTAAAAAGCCTTTGGGCTGACTTCTGAATTTGAAGTTTTTGTAAGTTGAACCAAGGAGAGTTACTATAGCAACACTGCTGCCGATGGCCTTTGACTCGAGTCTCTTAGCAGATTTGACAAAAGGGTAGTACTCACTTGGTTCAGATGAGAATGAACACTGCTTACAGCTAGAGTAGCTACAAATTGAAATTGGCCACATGTGAGATGAATCCAAAAGTGTGACAGGCACAGACAGAAACAACAATACAATTGGGATTTCATTAGTATTCAATGATGTGCTGAAGGAAGTTACTTTGACAGGCAACTCATTTAGGATGACACCCTTTCTATTTTGTCTATGATGGCATGGCACAATGAAACACTCCACCCTATATCTGAGGAGACTCACTGACTTGTATTTGCTCATTTGTTAGAGTGCCTTGGTTGAGCCTTTGCCTAAGATAGACACATCTGGTTATTTTACTTGTGGTAGAAAACAACACAAGCAGCCATTCTTAGGCCAGATAGGCAGGTGTTTTCTCCTGATTTCCACAACAACTCTCCATTTCTCCTGAGGCTTTTTCTGACAGAGCACATCAATGTAATACTATTTTCATTATGGTTCCTTCCTGCATATCTACAAAACAAACTACAAGCACCAGACAGACCTGCCGTGGTGATAATTAATGTTTTCCAGTTGAACGAGGAACAATTAATGTTTTCTGCTCTGACAATGAAGAACTCCAATTAAAAGATCCTAGCAAATGAATGTGAAATGGAAGTTCTAGAAAATAGACAAATATATACAGACATTGCTATCTACAGTATATAAAATTGAGCTTTTTAAAATAGGATAAACAGTATTGCTTGCCAGATAGTGACTGTGGGAAGAGACTAGACCAGGGCTCTCCAACCCTGTTCCTGTAGAGGTTCACTCCAACCCTTATCTATCACACCTGATTTTAATAATTAGCTGGTTGATAAACTGAATCCTGTTAGTTACAACTTGGGTTGGAGTGAAAACCTACAGGAGGGTAGCTCTCCAGGAACAGGGTTGGAGAGCCCTGGACTAGACAAACACCATGCTCAAAGGGATATTCAATATCTGCTTTTTATTTTTACCCATCTACCAATAGGTGCCCTTATTTGCGAGGCATTGGAAAACCTCCCTGGTCTTTGTGGTTGAATCTCTGTTTGAAATTCACTGCTCGACTGAGGGGCCTTACAGATAATTGTATGTGTGGGGTACAAAGATGAGGTAGTCATTCAAAAATCATGTTAAACACTATTATTGCACACAGAGTGAGTCCGTGCAACTTATTATGTGACTTGTTAAGCAAATTGACTCCCAAACTTATTTAGGCTTGCCATAACAAAGGGGTTGAATACTTGTTGACTCAAGATATTTCAGCTTTTCATTTTTATTCATTTGTAAACATTTCTAAAAACATAATTACACTGACATTATGGGGTATTGTGTAGGCCAGTGACACAAAATCTCAATTTAATCCATTTTAAATTCAGGCTGTAACACAACAAAAAGCAGAAAAAGTCAAGGGGTGTGAATACTTTCTGAAGGCACTGTACATCAAGGTAGAAGAGGTAATATAATGGTTGTTATCATTGAATTGCAAGAGTCCAATATTGAGTCCCATAATCAATCATCACTCCAGTGAATACCAATGAGATACAAAATTAATACATTCCAGGGAGTTCAATACATACAGTAGCGGCCAAATATTGTCACCCTTGCACTTTTCCTAAATACTTCTCTATTTCTTCTCAAATAAATTACATTTAAATAAAACTTTGTCACCACACCTTGTTATTGGATTTTTAACATTGCAGAACCACATTTATTTTTGCTAACTTAAGTTTACAATTTAATTTAGAAAATAAAGACAAATGGCATGGACAAAAGTATTGGCACCCCAGAGCCAGTACTTGGTTAGACCAACTGCCAACAAGTGCTTCTTGTAGCCATTAATGAGCTTGCTGCACCTTTCTACTGGCAATTTGGCCCACTCTTCAGCAGCAAACTGCTCTAATTCTTCAATGTTTGAGGGATGCCCTCCACCAACTGTTACTTTCAGATCTCGCCATACGTTTTGGATGTGATTCAGATCTGGACTCTTCGCCTACCACTCCAGAACAGTCCAGCATCTCTTACTGAACCATTCCTGGGTGCTTTTTGACATGTGTTTGTGGTCGTTGTCCTGCTGGAAGACCCACAACCTTCAATGGAGACCCAGTTTTTGGACACTGGGTTGAACATTGGACTCAAACACCTGATAATCTGCTGATTTCATGATGCCATACACACTTTCAAGGCCCCCAGTACCAGAGGCAGCAAAGCAAACCCACATCATTATCAAACCTCCCTCATCTTTAATTGTGTTCTTTTCATTGAATGCTTAATTTGGTTGTCAATAAACACAGCACTGATCTGTATTGCCAAAGAGCTCTAATTTTGTTTAATTTGTCCACAGAATTAAGGCTTGTTTAGATGGGTTTTTGAGAAGTTCAATCAGGCTATCTTGTGTCTCCTTCAGCAGTTGGGTCTTCCTATTTTTACCTACGACCAAATTAAGCATTCAAAGATGGGGGAGGTTCGATAATGCTGTGGGGTTGCTTTGCTGCCTCTGGTACTGGGGGCCTTGAATGTGTGCAAGACACAGTATCATGAAATCAGCAGATTATCAAGGTGTTTTAGAGTCCAATGTTCAACCCAGTGTCAAAAAACTGTCTCTGTTGAAGGTTGTGGGTCTTCCAGAAGGACAACGACCCCAAACACACATCAACAGCACCCTGGAATGGTTTAAGAAGAAATGACGGACTGTTCTGGGGTGGCCAGCGAAGAGACGAGATCTGAATAACATCCATAACCTATGGCAAGAACTGAAAACAGCAGTTGGTGGAGGGCACCACTCAAACATTGAAGAATTAGAGCGGTTTTCTGCTGAAGAGTGGGCCAAATTGCCAGTAGAAAGGTGCAGCAAGCTCATTGATGGCTACAATAAGTATGTGTTGGCAGTTATCAAAAGTTATTTCAATTTCAATTTATTTGAGAAGAAATAGGGAATTATTTAAGAAAAGTCCAAGGGTGCGAATATTTTGGGCCGCAACTGTACGAGTGAGTAATGGAGCAAAAGACACCCTGTCTACCCAACAACAAAGGAAAGTGGAAGATAATTTACTTATGCATGTACTATTTATGTGAGTTTAAAGCCTAATTTGAACAGGGCCCAAAGCCAACTTCATATGATAGTGGATATTACAATGTTTAATGCAGTACAAAGTCCAGCTGTAAAAAGAAGGGAAGAAAGCAATGTGGAGGAAATTGAGAGTCAAATTGGTACCTGTGTGTCTTTATGAACTCACACCTCTAATCATGTCATCATTATTTTCATTTCAAAATCATTACCTGTCCATCTCAGATTGGTTTTTGAATACTACAAAATCAACCTTCTGATTAGAGTGTAAACAACTCCTGTTCCGTGTCGCTCCATTCCTCCATTCAGCAAAGGATCAGCTCTGATCAGTGGCTGGGATTCTGATTGGTCGCTCCCGGCGTGAAGCTGACCCATGACTCCCCCCCGCCCCCCCGTCAGGCAGTGGAGAAGGTGAAGCGGGTGACGTGGCGGTACTCCTCCCCTGGTCTCAGCAGAGAATCGGGGAACAAGGCCTGTTCATAAACATAGGGTCACAGGGTCAAGGTCACATCTGAAGGACACAGGAGGTTCACATTGAAGACAGAAGCAAGGTTTCTGTCTGTGTTGTTGGTGCGAAGGCTTTTGGGAGAGCCGTGGGCAGGCTAAAACGGGTTGCTAGGGGCATACAACTATAGAATTGGATGCTAGGAGGTTAGGAGTGAATATGGAGGAAGTCTTTCTGTTGGGCCAAAGTGTCACATGACAGACAGCTGCATTGAGTATCTCAATGTGAGGTTCAATGGATGTGCTGAACCAATAAACACACCCCACTGGGCACAGACGTCAATTCAACGTCTATTCCACGTTGGTTCAACCAGTGTATGCCCAGTGGGACACGAACTAACGTACGCACGCACACATGCTGTTTCCCATCACATGGACATGACATGGTCAGGTTTAAGGAACTGGAGAAGAAGTATCTGAACAGAAAAAGGGAACTGAGGTTAAAACATGGGTTGGCTGACATTGTTTAGTCTGAAAAAGACAAGAGGCAGAGTTCAGTTCAAACCTCTCCAACTGAGAGCGTGGGTGTGTGTGGGTACCATGCTCTCCTCATCTCCTGTTTTGACTCATCCTGCCCCCTGTCTTCCCACCCTCACTCTCCATTCCTCCCCCTCACCCTGTTTGCTCCAACTGCAGTGTTTTCTGGCTCCCGTATGCGCAGCGGTTTGATACTGTATGTATGCAAATGAAAGTGCTTCTCAATCTGTCATTTGCCTGCGCACTTTGTTCTTGAGCTCAATCCAATGCAAATGGCCGTATCTCTGCATGGGTCTCTGCCTCTCCTACAGTACAGAAGAGCAGGATCAGGGGCCAGAGCTGGCGCTAGCGAACTCTGAATGTGACCCATGTAGCGGCCGGCAACTCAAATGGCTGTAATTACCGGCCAGCCCACCCACCAGCAGCTATTCAACTCTCTTCGCTATAGCTGTATCCAAACTACCAAGACGGCAATATTTTAAGGGTACTGTATACATGGAGAACAGCTAGTCTTTAAATGCAGGCATATGTGACTCTGGTTGTTATTGACTGATGCAGTGGTTAGAGATGTTGGGGTGGCAGGTAGCTTAGTGGTTAAGAGCGTTGTGCCAGTAACCGAAAGGTTGCTGGTTCTAATCCCCGAGACGACTAGATGAAAAATCTGTTGATGTGCCCTTAAGCAAGGCACTTAACCCTAATTGTTCCTGTAGGTCACTCTGGGTGAGAGCATCTAATAAATGACTAAAATGTAAAAATGTAAATGGTGTTTTTAGCGTTTTGGACAAATGTGCCTTTTTCTATTCAGCACCAACCTTTCAACACAGGTCAAAGAGGGCCTTGTATTAATTGACCATATATGGAAATTTGATCCACTGGTGCTAGAGTATATATGTATTTAGGGATGTGTGTGTGTGCGTGCCTTCATGAGTGCTTGTGATTCCCTCTGTTTAAGCTAGCCTTGTTAGCCAGGTTTCAAACACTCTTGCATATGCAAATACCCACATACAGTACATAAACATTTGGAAGCACAGAAATGGGGCTCATAGACCTGCACAGTTGTACTGGTCCTTCTTCCTGCTCATATTTAATTCACTCTACTGACACTGTAGGCAAGAAGAGAAGCTGTGAAACTAATCTCCACAAGGCTAGCACAGCAAGAGGAATGGAGGAACAGGATTTATGGAAATCAACCTCATGCAGCCTTCTCCTACTTAAAAGGCCAGTCTTCCAGCCCAGAATTCAATTTATCAAGGTTTTGATATGGATGGATGGAAAGACAAAGGGAGCCTAGAGAGAAAGATGGATAGAGGTGAGGCAATAACGCGCAGGGCAGGCGAGAAAGAAGAACAGAGAGAGAGGAAAAGTGATGGAGAGAGAAAGAGGAAGAGAGAGAGAGATGGGGAGGAGAGAGAAGAGACAGTCTAGGCGAGAGAATGAGTTACAGTGAGGAGAGGAGAGGAGAGAGGAGTATACAGTGCTCAGTAAATCTTTCATGGTCTCCATAGCAGGCACTCCCATTATACGCTGATGCTGTGATTACTCAAGCAACAATTACTGCCATAAATCTGCTGGCAGCACAGGGGGCCAGCAGAGAGAGAGGGGCGGAGTGCATTATAACTACAGAGGAGGATTGGACAGTCTTCACATTTTGCTGCCTTAAAATGAAATCTAATAAGGGATTACATTAGATTTTTTCCCTAGAGATCTACACAACCTACTCCAACCTACTCCACAAGTGAAGAAGGTTATAGAACATTTTCCAAATTAATAAAATAAACGAAGATGTCTTAATTGTGTATGTCTTGATGTCTTCACACCCCAGAGTTAATACTTGGTGGAAGCACCTTTGGTAGCCATTAAAGCTGTGAATGATTTTGAATAATATTCTACCAACTTTGCACAACTCTTAGCTAGGGCTGTGGCGGTCACGAAATTTCAACAGCCGGTGATAGTCAAGCAAATAACTGTCTGTATCACGGTAATTGACCGCTAATTAACAAACACATTTAGCATCTCCTGGCTTCCACACATAGCCTACAAGCCACTGATGCAGACTTTTGGAACATCTACATTTTAAAAAGTCAAATAAATCCATGTAATATAGCCTACACCTTCACAATAAATCCATTATTTATTTTAGACAGGTCTAAAGGATCATGATATGAAGAAAATGTAGTCTATTTCAGAAGAACAGAATAGCATACTCTGAGTTGTCCTTATGTTAGGCCCTGCTCTGGCTATGCCATATGGCTGTGGGCTACACTAGTTCATTTAGCAGACAAGATTTTCTTAGAATTCCGTGGCATTATTTTATATTATTTTATTGTATGAAGAATACAATTGAACAAAGCTGAATAAAATAGAAAGGATATTTTCTCCAAACAATTTGAGGGAGTGCGCACATGCGGCTATTCTGCGTTGAGCAAGAAATAGTTACTCCTATATGTTTAATTTAGAGTTATTAATGTAACTATAGTTTTTCTACAAACGTTGGGCTATATGTTTTGATTTTTACTACATTGTAAGGCTGCATGATGATTTGAAAAAAAGTCACTTGAAAGGCATGAGCTCTGCTTAGTTTTTTTGAGCAGGCTGTACACACTTCATCAGTCTCTCATTCACAATTTGAGAAGCACTTGATAATGCCTTGAATTTAATACAACTTATAGCATCAAAAAACATTTTTTACGCAATGAGGCTGATGCAACAGAACAGAACGTTTAGATTAAAATGTTGATAAACTATTAGGCTATTTCTTCACATTATAAGCGCAGCAATGCGCACACGGCAGTAGGCTATAAGCGCAAATGTTCCTTTAGCGGGAAAACACCATTATCAAAAGTGACCACAAATGTGATTATGCCTGTAATGCTTTTATTATAAAGGTGCATTTTTAGGGTGAAAATTATCTTCCCCAAACTTGAAACTCTCGCACTGCTTATGTATGCCAGTTAGGCTCTACACCCCTTGTAAAGCGGATTAATGTGCTTAATTTTAAGAAGTTATTTGGCCACTTTAGTTGTGATACAAACCTTATCAAAACATATAGGCCTATGGGCTAGGCAACATGAGGTGTGCGACTATGATTCGAAAAAGTAGCAAAAAAAAGGCATTGTTTCTTGCCTTATGCTGGGCATCATTCACAAGTGATAATATATCATTCACAAGTGATTGGCTAATATTGTCACACATCAGACAATTCTTGATTTAATCTAGTCTTTACATATACTAAATAATATGTGTGAAATTCATTTTGATTTAGAATGGACCATTATCATGCACCTGTCTCGAATCAGGGGCAGGGGAAAAAATAAATGTAATCTCTGCACTTAAATAGCAAATGGAGGATGCTTTTCCGGTGGTTCATTTTCATGCCAGCTAGGTAGGCTATACTCCTGTTGTAAAAATAAGCAATGTGCTTAATATTTCCTTAATATTACGAAAGTTGAGAAATAAATATAGTAGGCCTAGCCTATAGAAAGCTGATGGGATCCTCTTTTTAATAGAGGCCATCATTCTGTTTTCTCACGCAATTGCATAGCCTATAGAAATGTTGCGCAACATGAGCTCATGGGCTCTCATTAAGTGTTTGATTAGATTTTCTATTACATTTGCATTGATGTCAGAGTGATTAGAGGGACAAGAGTGCTGAGTACCAGGCAGTTAGCAAGTTTGGTAGGCTACTAATGACCATCAGCAGTATCAGAGCTAATTAACGTGACTAAACGGTCACATGGAATTTGACAGCCTTGACTCGTGACCGCCGGTGTGGCGGTAATACGATCACCGCAACAGCCCTACTCTTAGCGCAACATATGTCAATTATTTTGGGTCAAAATTGCTCAAGCTCAGGTGGGTTTTCCTTTAATGTCTTACCTGGGCTTTGCTCCTTATACAGTACCAGTCAAAAGTTTGGACACACCAACTCATTCAAGTTTTTTATAAACCATTTTCTACATTGTAGAATAATAATGAAGACATCAAAACTATGGAATAACACATATGGAATCAATATATTTTAGATTTTAGATTCTTCTAAGTAGCCACCCTTTGCCTTGATGACAGCTTTGCACACTCTTGGCATTCTCTCAACCAGCTTCATGAGGTAGTCACCTGGAATGCATTTCAATTAACAGGTGTGCCTTCTTAAAAGTTAATTTGTGGAATTTCTTTCCTTCTTAATGCGTTTGAGCCAATCAGTTGTGTTGTGACAAGGTAGGGGTGGTACACTGAAGATAGCCGTATCTGGTAAAAGACCAAGTCCATATTATGTCAAGAACAGCTAAAATAAGCAAAGATGAATGACAGTCCATCATTACTTTAAGACATGGTCAGTCAATCTGGAAAATTTCAAGAACTTTGAAAGTTTCTTCAAGTGCAGTTGCAAAAACCATCAAGCGCTATGATGAGTCCAAATTGAGATTTTTGGTTCCAACCGCTGTGTCTTTGTGAGACGCAGAGTAGGTGAACGGATGATCTCCGCATGTGTGATTCCCACCGTGAAGCATGGAGGAGGAGGAGGTGTGATGGTGCTTTGCTGGTGACACTGTTGATGATTTATTTAGAATTCAAGGCACACTTAACCAGCATGGCTACCACAGCATTCTGCAGCGATATGCCATCCCATCTGGGACTATCATTTGTTTTTCAACAGGACAATGACCCAAAACACACATCCAGGCTGTGTAAGGGCTATTTGACCAAGGAGAGTGATGGATTGCTGCATCAGACAACCTGTCCTCCACAATTACCTGACCTCAACCCAATTGAGATGGTTTGGGATGAGTTGGACCGCAGAGTGAAGGAAAAGCATATGGGGGAACTCCTTCAAGACTGTTGGAAAAGCATTCCTCGTGAAGCTGGTTGAGAGAATGCCAAGAGTGTGCAAAGCTGTCATCAAGGCAAAGGGTGGCTACTTTGAAGAATCTCAAATATAAAATATATTTGGATTTGTTTAACACTTTTTTGGTTACTACATGATTCCATATGTGTTATTTCATAGTTCTGATGTCTTCACTATTATTCTACAATGTAGAAAATAGTAAAAATAAAGAAAAACCCTTGAATGAGTAGGTGTTTCCAAACTTCTGACTGGTACTGTATATTTATTTTGATCCTGACAAACTTCCCAGTCCCCGCCGATGACAAGCACACCCATAACATGATTATGCCACCATAATACTTGAAAATACAGAGGGTTTTAATCTGTGTTGTATTGGATTTGACCCAAACCAGTAGTTAAAACATTGCAGAATTACTGAAAAGGCCCAGTGCAGACAAAAACATGTTTTTCCTGTGTTTTATATATATTTCCATAATATGGAGGTTGGAATAATACTGTGAAATTTTGAAAATGATGATAATGCCCTTTTAGTGTATGAGCCATAAAAAAAATATAAGTATTTGACCCCCTCTCAATCAGAAAGATTTCTGTCTCCCAGGTGTCTTTTATACAGGTAACGAGCTGAGATAAAAGACACCTGTCCACAGAAGCAATCAATCAGATTCCAAACTCTCCACCATGGCCAAGACCAAAGAGCTCTCCAAGGATGTCAGGGACAAGATTGTAGACCTACACAAGGCTGGAATGGGCTACAAGACCATCGCCAAGCAGCTTGGTGAGAAGGTGACAACAGTTGGTGCGATTATTCGCAAATGGAAGAAATACAAAAGACCTGTCAATCTCCCTCGGCCTGGGGCTCCATGCAAGATCTCACCTCGTGGAGTTACAATGAGAACGGTGAGGAATCAGCCCAGAACTACACGGGAGGATCTTGTCAATGATCTCAAGGCAGCTGGGACCATAGTCACCAAGAAAACAATTGGTAACACACTACGCAGTGAAGGACTGAAATCCTGTAGCACCCGCAAGGTCCCCCTGCTCAAGAAAGCACATATACAGGCCCGTCTGAAGTTTGCCAATGAACATCTGAATGATTCAGAGGAGAACTGGGTGAAAGTGTTGTGGTCAGATGAGACCAAAATCGAGCTCTTTGGCATCAACTCAACTCGCCGTGTTTGGAGGAGGAATGCTGCCTATGACCCCAAGAACACCATCCCCACCGTCAAACATGGAGGTGGAAACATTATGCTTTGGGGGTGTTTTTCTGCTAAGGGGACAGGACAACTTCACCGCATCAAAGGGACGATGGACGGGGCCATGTACCGTCAAATCTTGGGTGAGAACCTCCTTCCCTCAGCCAGGGCATTGAAAATGGGTGGTGGATGGGTATTCCAGCATGACAATGACCCAAAACACACGGCCAAGGCAACAAAGGAGTGGCTCAAGAAGAAGCACATTAAGGTCCTGGAGTGGCCTAGCCAGTCTCCAGACCTTAATCCCATAGAAAATCTGTGGAGGGAGCTGAAGGTTCGAGTTGCCAAACGTCAGCCTCGAAACCTTAATGACTTGGAGAAGATCTGCAAAGAGGAGTGGAACAAAATCCCTCCTGAGATGTGTGCAAACCTGGTGGCCAACTACAAGAAACGTCTGACCTCTGTGATTGCCAACAAGGGTTTTGCCACAAAGTATTAAGTCATGTTTTGCAGAGGGGTCAAATACTTATTTCCCTCATTAAAATGCAAATAAATGCGTTTTTCTGGATCTTTTTGTTGTTATTCTGTCTCTTACTGTTCAAATAAACCTACCATAAAAATGATAGACTGATCATTTCATTGTCAGTGGGCAAACATACAAAATCAGCAGGGGATCAAATACTTTTTTCCCTCACTGTATCACTTCCTCCTCCACTTTTTCTCTTCAAATTGACCCTCAGAAAGAAGACCTTGTCATCAAATAATTATTAGATAACTGTGGTATTACATACCCTATACTGTACATCGATAGGCATTTAACTCAGTGTCCACATGTGTATTCATGTCTTTCATTGGAAGGCCCTCCCTATAAGCCTTGCAGACAGAAAGCATTGTAACAACAAGTACTTTCCCTGAGTATTGAACAAGGGCTGACCCCATTTAGTCGACTGTTCGATTGTTAGGCTGTTGGTCGTCCAAGAGTTTTTTAGTCGAGCAGTAACATATATTTTATGATGCACAAGACACCTGTCTGATTCGCGCCTGTCTCAGTGGACTAGTCCATTGCGGCGGCCACGGGGATGGCACATTCCATCACTCTGATACTGAAATTGTATATGGTTATATTATGTAAAAATAATGGTGCAACACTAATAAATCTAATATTATTTTATAACAAATGCGCTTTCTCCCGCATTGAATACGGTCGCTGTCTGCGGTTTTGAAACATTATCTTCAGTGCGCCATAGAATTGGCACCTTTCCCTATGTTGCTATGTGCATAATAGCAAAGTTAACCAACACATTGGGATTGAGAACAATGTGGCGGAGGCAGCAGCAGCAGAGACAAGGAAACAGCCCTTGCCTATCCTAATTATCTAAGAAAATTGAGGAGAGAGGAAACCCCAATTTAATTAGGTCTATAATCAATAGCCTTACTGTTAAAAGTACCTGGCTTTATAAATCATCCATGTACAGTTGAAGTCGGAAGTTTACATACACCTTAGCCAAATACATTTCAACTCAGTTTCACAATTCCTGACATTTAATCCTAGTAAATCCACCAAGCCTCATGCAACGGCAAAATATCAGATAAAGCAATTTCACAGATTTGTCTGTTTTTAATCTTTGATATGCTATAAAGGCTTTACACATATTTTTTTCGTTAGAACAGACTCGCTGTCATTTTTTTTAACACAGTGTGACCATCGGTCTCGTTCTTGAGTCATTTGTGTGTCTTAATTATTTAATCAAACAGTATGCTTAAAGCATCAGACAAGCTCAGTGCATAATGTAGTTGATTTTATTCAAACACATCGGGTGTGTCTGCCTATATATGCAAAAATACGTTTAAACATTTTGACCAATCGATTGGTCGAAAGAACAGGACGACTCTCGGTCGACCAAGATTATTATTATTATTTTTATTTTTTTCGGGGACAGCCCTAGTATTACGTTCTCATTGTCGCCAGAGCCCCTAACCCCTGTAGCATGCAATGTAATAGAGTGCTTTGACTTCTTGTGCTCTTGATTCATTGGGCACCATCAGCTTATCAGTGAGCTGGCTGCCTTTGGCTAGAGTTACAGTCCTGCATGGCTGAGCTGACCAGCAGTTCACTAGTACAGTTTTACACAGAGGTTGGAAATACAGTATAGAGAAACCAGAGACTGCATCATGGACTGCATGGAATTATTATTGAAACATTTGCCCTTGCTCCGTACATGTACACTTTGGCCCCTGTAATCATGCATTTTAAAGAACCAGACATTTGTTATTGATATACCTTTAAATGTGATGGGGTTTTGTTATTTGTGTGCTGCAGAAAGCAGCAAATCCTATACACTGATTATACAAAACATTAAGAATACCTGCTCTTTCCATGACATAGACTGACCAGGTGAAAGCTATGATCCCTTATTGATGTCACTTGTTAAATCCACTTCAATCACTGTAGATGAAGGGGAGGAGTCGGGTTAAATAATGATTTTTAAGCCTTGAGACAATTGAGACATGGATTGTGTATGTGTGCCATTCAGGGGGTGAATAGGCAAGATATAAATTGAAGTGCCTTTGAACCGGGTATGGTAGTAGGTGCCAGGCGCACCGGTTTGTGTCAAGAACTGCAATGCTGCTGGGTTTTTCACGCTCAACAGTTTCCTGTGTGTATCAAGTATGGTTCACCACCCAAAGGACATCCAGCCAACTTGACAACTGTGGGAAGCATTGGAATCAACATGGGCCAGAATCCCCGTGGAACGCTTTCGACACCTTGTAGAGTCCATACACCGAAGGTGTTCCTAATGTTTGTATACTCAGTGTATACTGCCCATATAGACAGCATGACTGCGTGTCTATAACATACAATCTCTACAAGAATGAGACACGCAGGCACACACACACACAGTTACACACAAGCACACACACACACACCTTCTCTATTCCCTCTCTCCCTCTCCTTCCATCTGTAAAGTGGCCTCTTCCCCTCCCACACACTTGACCACAATCGATTTCCCATGATTCCAATCTGTGCTCTTACAAAATCTCCATGAAACCACAGAACCTGTCCTCTGCTCTTACACAACCTCCCTCAACTCCTTTACATCCACATTATCTGCACCATGCACTTGAATCTCCTCTATTCACCAACACACAATCTCTACATTATGCTTTTACTGTCTATACACCAACTACAATCTAGTCACGTCATTCTAGCCGTTAAACGTTTATGCTCTCATGTACAACAACTTCGAACTGTAACTGACTCCTATTACGTTTTGGTTCCGCTTTAGCATTTAACTCCTACTTTATAGCTAATCAAAGCATTACACATAATTACAAAACAAGTGAGTATGATTCAACATATAAAGGTCTGTTGATCAGTATAAGCCCTTTGATTTTACTTTAATGAAAAAATCTGTATGTAACTAAACTGCTGAGCATTTGCAATGTTAGATACAAAGATAATATAATGAACTTCTAGGCTTAATTTTTCAGTAGCAGTGTCATTTATCATTTAGTTAATGAACACATCATTACCATCGTACCTTAACAGTAGTTATTCAAAAATACTAGAGTGATTAATTAATAAGTCAAGTCTTGTTAGAGATAATGGGCTGTGAGGAGAAGGCTCAGGAACAATTAAATTGTGTGTGCGTGCGTGTGTCTTAGCAGCCTGCCTTGCAGTGATTTAAATGCATGTGGACCCACCAGACTGCCCATCATAAAGAGAAGACCAGTACTGACAGTGTTTAATGTTCCTTGTCAATACAAAGTCTACAGCCGCAGTAGTTAAGCTCATAGGCCATTTGCAAACCACAACTGTGGCTAAACATCGACTTTCATTCTGCAAGTATTTCCATAGTTGATCTCTATGGTTGCAGCCTACACAGACTACTATTATTGAACCATGGCCAAATTAGCAGGCTCTTGCTCTCCCCTCTACCACTGATCTACTCCATATATTAGTGAAGGACTACCTCACAGGACAGCGTACCTGGTTGACAGCGTCAGGCCAGTTCTGTGTCTCCAGGCAGAAGGCACTGTGTTTAGGGTAAGAGGCCCCACCCTTTCCTTTGAAAGAGCCATCCAGGAAGTTGGCTGTGTAGAACTGGACACCGGGCTGAGTGGTGCTGACCTCCAGAACACACCCACTCGCTGGGTGAAATACCCTAAAGAGACAGAGGGAGGGAGGGCAGAGGTGAGAGTAGGATAGGAGAGAGACACAGTCACTCGCTAATCCAAGGTTGTAGCTAGGGCACTGTGCAGTGTTCATGCATTTTCTAAGTTGCTCTGCAAGACCACTACTGATGCTTTATAGAGAAACACCAAGACTGCAATGCCTTGCGATGCAGTGCCCACTGTACAGCCCAACATAGTGTGGCCTCACCTTGCACACACGCGCTCTGTCCAAGCATCTCCAGGTGATGACAGGCAGAAGTTGTGGTCGAACCCAGGCCCAGGCACTTCTTTCAGCCGTGGGCCAATCAGAACTGGCCTCCGAAGGTCAAAGGGTGTGCTCTCCACTGATCTGACCTCGCCTGTAGACAGAGCAGGGATAGAGCTGGGTATGTCAGTTTTGACATGAATAGGGCTGAGGACTTGGACACAGCACCGTAATTAACTGGCAAACATCCAACACCAATAGGCTTTAAAATTCATTAAATAGAGATATAAAATGAACTGAGAAACACACGCCTCACTATTTAAACAGTGAGGATATTTGATTATGTCAAACCATTAAAATAAACCACCATTAGGCTCCAAATTCCTCTGAACTTATTCTCCCTTTCCTTTAGGAAAACCTTCGTAACATACCACTGACTAACAGAGTGACAATTTGGGAGGTGGTATGAAGGACAAACAGCCTCTTTCTCCCTGACAGCGTACTAATGTCAGATAACATTCTCGGTCTTAATAAACGCTGAGCAACTCAAAGGCTTCTCAGAGAGCCTCCCTGCCCCCAAACCACCTCCTCGTTGATCCCCTTGCAATTTCACAGGCCAAAAATATCGCCATGACGAAGGTGGCTATCAATCAGATCGGCTTCCTCATTTATCCAGTGCCTCAACAAGAACTGAGATAGGAAATTAAACTACAATAGTGACATGATACAGAGGGCCTTTCACATGCACAAAAAAGCACAATCCAAACAGACAACACAGAGAAGAAACAAATACAACCACAAAGGTGACTTAATTAAGTGAATTACGTAGGAAAAAAAAAAAGTGAAGCCTCCTCAAGGTTCAATCAAGTAGAAAACTGGTTTGTGGGATGTATTCTAGTCTGGTTCAGTGAATTGTAAACTGGTTTTGAGTGTTTAGGGGCTGTTGGTATAATGCTTGATGTTCTGGTATGGTAAGAGGCATCTTAGTATGGACTAGAGGCAGCAGGTGCATTTGTTTGGTGGGAGGGGGGTTGGGGGTGGATGGGATAATGGATTCTAGATTAGTGTCTGGGTTTCCATTCCGATTTCGATTCAATTTTATGTTTTCTCAAGGACACAATCTCTCATTTCCTCTCTCTATCTGAAGGTATCAGTCAGGGTTCACCTCTGACCACCTGACCTCTAACCCCTAGGCCATTCAAAATGAAAAACACACAGGTGTTCCAACAGCCTCTTACTCTCAATTTCAAATAAACAAACCCAGAGGCATCAGATGGACCAAGCAGAAAATGTATCTTGACTCTCCATGGACTAACATTTACTCTAAAGCCCAAAGCCCAATTTACTGCGGCTCCAAACCGACTCTAAAAATAAACAGTCATTAATTATTCTGTCTGCACCATTAGGCTGTCCCATGGGGCGGACTGGTAATTGAACTGTAATGAATGTGTTTATCTAAAGGTCTAAGAGCGCTTGGATAGGTTAATCTGGAGTACGTTAATGATTATTCTAAAACTCAACACAACAGCGTTAGACCTCTGTCTAGTAGCAACTGACAGTAACGGTCTCTCACCTTAAGGAGAGGAGAAATAGAGAGAGAGTGGAAAAGGGAATGAGACTGACATTGATAAAGACAGAGTCGGTAGAGAGAGATAGATAGAGAAGATAATAGATGACTCCTGTATTTAGGAGAAGAAGAACTGGCTGTCAGTCACTCTGCTATAATGGCCATTTATCCCTCCTACAAACTAAAAAAGACCAGGATTCACCATCCAGTCCTCAATACCTGTGGTATTACCATTCAAACGAGCCTGGCAACATTAACCAATAGCCCTAACCGACTTCTATTCTATTCGTTCCTAGAGAAAAGATGACTTATCTGTCCAAATCATTCACATTTATATTACGGACTGCTTTTGCGTAATTTAGGTACTCTAGGAAATGATGGAAAATCATTATTTCACACTACATTTTAGGCAGTGCTGTGGTCCCTCCACCCATGTGGGTGAAACATATCCGTTTCTCTGTGGCGTAACGTCACGCAGACATTGCTAATGGAGCGACGCTTGGACTCCCTACTAAATTATTACTGAGTCGGGCTGCTCTCCCCAGCTGCTCTCGCTCTGCTGATTAAGCCTGATGGAAGATTACAGCCCGAATCCCACCAATCTACTTCCATACTGTTGCACTGTGTTAAGTCTTTGACATCCAGTTAACAATCTATAGTCTTAGTCAGGCAGTCTAGTATTTTCTAGACTCATGCTGTGCCCTAAATGTTATACTAAAGTCAGAGCGAGGGAGAGAGAGTAAGATTACCTTTTGGATGAAATTGCTTTCTGCAATATAATAAATTCAGTCAACAGATAAAGTAGTTTTTTTTTTTATCAGTGTGTGTTGATGCCGATTTTTAAGGCTTTAACCTAAATAAAGCTTTCCCAACAGTTTCCCATTCTTTTTAACAGATTATAATTTGTATAGAGAGAAACAGTGTGAGGGCTCTGAAGCACACTCAATCTGTCCCTGATACTAAGATGAAGATTGAAGAGAAACCGTTTTCTGCTATCTGATGCATCTGACTCTCTAACATGCATCATCAGTTAGAACAGTATTTCTGAGTTTGGAGAAGATTGTTATCACAAGTTTGCTCTCCTAGAACAGAGCCCACGGGTTGTCTGCAGGGTGAGGGTCACACACACACACACACACACACACACACACACAGGTCAACACCTCATCCTCATTATACACCTCAACAGGGTAGGAGACGAGATGCACACAGAGTAAAGGCTAACTTGACAAAGTTATTCCAATTAAAAATCATTCAGTTGAGTCATGTTTTGTATGTCTGACCTGCTCGCTGCTGAGAGGTTGGGGTGAGGATAGGGCAGGTAATATTCTATCCATGTAATTATCCTACCTGGTATTTTACTTCTGAGAGCTTTTGAGACTATTCTATAAAAATCTGTTTTTTTCTTGTGATAAAAAATATCATTTATTTAAAGAAAATTGTATTTTTATCTCTTACCAGTGGGGATCATGGTGTCATCCACAGGCAGATATGTTGGAGCGCTGATGGAGACTTCATGGTCGTATATGTCAGCTGAGCCCTGCAGGCACACACAAGCACACACAGACGCACGCACAGACGTACACACACACACCATCAACACACAGCCTGGAGATATGTGCCTTGTTACCATGCTGATGGATGCTATCAAACAAAGTTTAGTTAGGGTCACATTAAAAAGCACCTCAATCTCAGCCCATGCACGCTCCTGAGACACTGTCACTCAGAACGTGCACTCTCTTGAAACACTTTCATTCAATAACCTCATTACCATTCTGTTGACAGCAGAAGAGATAAGGAGATACTGAGTAGGAGGTGTATCTGAATTCCACAACATAATGCCTGTGGCCAGTCAATAACCAATCATACTGCAATCCCACTACGATGTCTGATATGAAATACTGATACAGAAACAATACACAGTCAACAATATAGAAATAGTCTGCTTTTCTCTGCCACCAAGGAGCCTTACAGTGATTGGCTGGTTCGATCCATACATTTTTAACATGATTTCTCTACATATTACTGCATATTACATTGAACTTAGTACTACACGTACCCTAACACATTTAGAAACATAACTAACTTATTATTGTTATTTTATTGTGTTACGATTTTCTTTTTATCTATTTGTTAATTTTCATACTTTTTTTCTTTCTCTGCGCATGTGACAAATACAATTTGATTTGAACTACACAGTAATTGTCTGAAAGAGGACAGCTCCTTCTCATGGTCCTACCTGTCCAGCCAGGTTGAAGTAGGAATGGTTGGTGAGGTTAATGGGGGTGGTTCTGGTGGAGCGGGCCTGGTACTGGATGCTCAGCGTGTCCCCCTCCAGGGTGTAGGTGACAGAGGCCTGCACCTCCCCGGGGTAATTCTGGTCCCCGTCTGGGCTGGTGAGGGTGAGCCGAACCCCCCCCTCCACACCCTCACTTGCCCATATCACCTGGAGCACAGCACAGCACAGCACAGCACAGCACAGCACAGCACAGCACAGCACAGCACAGCACAGCACAGCACAGCACAGCCCAGCCCAGCACAGGGGCAATTCAATAAATCAATTACTTGCTCAAGGGCACCGACAGATTTTTCACCTAGTCGTCTCAGGATTCAAACCAGCAGCCTTTCGGTTACTGGCCCAACGCTCTTAACCGCTAGGCTACCTGCCGCTGTCAATTAGAATGCCAAATGCATGTGTTAGAGGAAATAAACACAGTTTTGTTTAGAAATTGATATCATCAATGATGATGATGACCGCTCCCGAGTGGCGCAGTGGTCTAAGGCACTGCATCTTAGTGCAGGAGGCGTCACTACAGACCCCCTGGTTAGATTCCAGGCTGTATCACAATCCGTCCGTGACTAGGAGTCCCATAGGGCGACGCACAATTGGCCCATCGTCGTCAGGGTTTGGCCGTCATTGTAAATAAGAATTTGTTCTTAACTGACTTGCCTAGTTAAATAAAGGTTAAATAAATAAAAAAATCACTATCACCTGTGCTTTGCCATGCACAGCCAATAAACACGGGAACAATAACTCAATACTCGATGTGTGAGACACTCAGAGTTAATATTTCTGACACTGACAGACTTGTGAGAGCAGACGTCTAAACAACAGTTCTGCCTCTAATCCATGAGCTCATCCTGTATGGACTGGAACTGGATTCAAATCTTACAAACAATGGAGCACCTTTGTTATCATCTCCCAGCATTATTGTGTTTGACCTTAATCCACCGTCTAAGTGTTCTGATCCACCATGGCCCACACTGCTGTTGCATGTCATAATGTCACTTTCAGTTACTAGAGAAGAAGTGAAAGAGAGAGAGAGAGAGAGAGAGAGAGAGGAAGGGAGGGACAGAGAGAGAGCGAGAGAGAGCTAGAGAGAGAAAGGGTGAGATGGAAAGAGACAGCTAGAGGGAAAGAAAGAAAGATAAGAGAGAGCGGTAGAGGGGTATAGAGGGAGGGAGGGAGGGAGGGAGGGAGGGAGGGAGGGAGGGAGGGAGGGAGGTCGGAGACGGATGAGGGTAAAATTGGTCATGGGAGGAACCTGTCAATAGGCAGCCTGAAGCACAAGGACATGATGTACTAACAATGAGCTAAAAATTAGGTAGCATGCATCTGCAAGGCTCTGATACATCTCCTGGAGCTAATCTTTTCTCTCGCCATCCTTCCTTCTACTCCCCCACTTTCTGCATGCCCATTCTCTCTCTCGCTTTCTTTCTGTACCACAGCAATTCTTCCACCTCTCTCTCAGTGGAGTGCACAGTCAAAACAAAAGTATTCGCTCCACTGACAGCAGCCAATGTCAAACACTGCCTGCAGTTAATGCGTAGCCCCTTTGATTGACAGCTGGCTCTGGCACTCTGTAGCCTATTCTCAGCTTTAAATAGGAATGTCATCAAGACTTAAAGTATGATGCCATCTTTTGTTTGCCGCTCCTTTTACCATCCATCAGTTTGTCATCTCCATCATGGTGCTACCAGTGCTATCTGCTATTTATAACTAGCAGCCCTTCAGGCTGATAAGTGATGAGTCATGATGTGATCTGGAGGACACCTGTGGCTTGGCAAAATGCTAATGCCTCACAAAAAGAACAAGAGTGGCCTCTGCATCTGTCTGTAAACAAATCTCTCCACGCTAATTGAGAGTGCAACAGTTGCTAAGTGACTACAGTTAGACCTGGTTGCCGTCTCTATTCAGCTATTACATTCCACTCCTTGCCACTCCATAACATAAGTCCACCGTGTCATTGTCGTGTGGCCTTGGTTTCTATCTACTACAGATGTAAATTAGATCAATCTGTGGTCCAAGACAAACCTCCACTGACAAACAGGTGTGTGAATTGAATAGTGACATTGATTTGTAACCAGAGGACTGCCAGCTGAGTTTAAAGTGTGGGATCAGGATTTTGGGCTCTTGAGGAATCCACTTGACCTGAAGAAACATCGGGCACTATGGGTGTATGAATAAAAAAGCCTGGATGAGACAGGATATGAATAATTCATGATGTTATCTCTTGTATCCTTGGTGATTGGAACAGGAATGATGACAATTTGAATTTATATCATGCAATTGCAGTGTTCTTGGCACCGCATGGATAATAGAGTCTGACCCCCGAGGTGAAAATGGAATGATGAATATGACTGATCTATTACAACTCATTCTGAGCTCTGGTTTATCAAATATGACTGCTCTTCCCCGGATTAAACAAAACATATTGTTTTAAAACTTATTGAAAGAAAACTAGGACTTCTTTTGACTTTAACAATCTTTCTGTTGTTGTTGCTGTTATACCACATTTTCACACTTCTGATATATTCTCCCAGGGCGATGTAATCAAAGAGAACAATCTGTCTGTGAATATTCGCAGCAGACTTCAAAAGTGCTAATGTTTTATCAAATCTGTGAAAGACGGAGCTGAATCTGCTAAAAAGACTAACCACAGACATCTCACCAGCCAGATGGAACTATAGAAAGGCTGTTGTGTCTGTCCTCTCTCTAGACGGAAAGTCCAGGGGCTTAGACAGCTTTCTCTTTATGGAGCAGTTAGCAGACACTATAGCCGAGTGCTATTTCCAGGGGCCATTAGCTGAGTTTATAATGCCTATAATTGATTCAGTTGTAATGACGCAGCAGTGAACACTGAGGCCTACGGTTGGATGGTAATGGTGTTTTGTGCAGCACAGCTTAAAGTGGATCTATCCATGGCTTCCATACAGGGCTGATTAAAGGCATGTAGTGTGACCGACAGGGGAGAACACTCATAATGTGCTGACCACAGAGATAAACACAGGAGAGAAGCGTTATGTATGTGTAGCGGATTATTTAAATCATTCATATTCAAATGTTCATTTAAAAAAGTTGATTCTACTGCTGCAATGAGGCATTTACAGTCGTTCCCTTAGGGTTCTTTATTCCTGTGTATTCTCCTGAAGTCACAGTGCAGTGCCGAGCCGAGATATGAGGAAAATTAAGGTAATCATTTAGAATGGACTGCACCTCCTACACAGAGCACTTATGGGCCAACAGGGCTCCTTCTGCGGAAGACTGATTATACCCAGGTGCTCTACAGAAAGGTTAAGAAAGTGTCTCCTGCCCACGGCCACAGTCATTCAGGTTAAGAAAGTGTCTCCTGCCCACGGCCACAGTCATTCAGGCTTTTAACAACACCAGGTTGCTGTCATCATGACAGAAAATACATTGATTACGCACTACCTAGACACTTCAATTGCTCTTTTGCACACTAGTTCAGCACTGTACTTTTTAATTGCCTACGCACAAATGTATTTCCTTTGGGGATTAATAAAGAATGATCTCAACTCATCTGTGTGTGAGAGTTGTCAATACAGTAGTCATGCTGACGTCTACAATACGGTACTTAAATAGTGTGAGTGAATCCTGTCTTATGTGAGTGCAGTCCATCGAGAACCTTCTACTTCCATTTTTATGGTGCAGTCTGTGTGCTTCCATGGTTTTGGTGGTTTTGGTGTTTGTTTTTACCTTGCTGAAGCCCCTCAGTCCTCCATGGAGAGCGTTAGGTCCATTATTGATGGCCAGTTGATAATCTTTCCCATCGACCACAAATCTGCCCTTGGCGATCCTATTGGCTACCCGGCCGACAACAGCGCCAAAGTACTTGGGGTTGGCCAGATAGCCTGCAATAAAACAGTTGAGCCGTGTCATTGTTTCTCATTCAAGAGTCACACAGATATCGCACATAAAACAGCACCTTTGCTCAGTGTTTACCATGCGCATCACATAAAACACTCTATAGGCTTTAATATTTGTAATAACACTCTTAGCAAAAATCTGCAAAAGCTACACTCTCTCTCTCACACACACACACACGCTCACACGGTTGGTGCAGGCTCTTTGCTTTTTAGTTGCCTTATCATTTCATCATCCTGTTCAAGTCTTCCCACCTTTCGGGTATTTTCAGAGGCTGACTTCTGTGTGTCTCCTGCTGACTTCAGTGTGTCAGAGACACACTCACATTAGTACTTTAAAACTCCTTTCATAAGTCATCAAGAGTTCACAAGGTCAAAGGTCTGATTATGCCCCCACTCCCAGTTCAGAGACTGCTTGAACTCATGTCAAACAATTTACCCATATTGAGCATAGGTAACATATGTTGAACACCAACCTGGTATCAGAGCATTTCATATTATTCTGTACGTAAATCTGAGACACTCCTTAACATTTGAGGATGTCTATCACCCATTTCGTATGATATGTAACAAATTACAATTCGTATGATATGTTAAGAATTTTCAAAACGTACAATATGTTATGAATTTTCAAAAACGGATGATATGTTACGAATTCTAGCTCGGTGGCGAACATTAGCTAACTGGCTAATGTTAGCTGGACTAGGTGTTAGGGTTAAGGTTAGGGTTAAGTTTAGGAGTTAGGTTAAACGGTTAGGGTTAGCTAAAAGGGTTAAGGTTAGGGGAAGGGTTCACTAAAAGGGTTAAGGTCAGGGGAAGGGTTAGCTAACATGCTAAGTAGTTGCAAAGTAGCTAAAAAGTAGTAAATAGGTTGCTAATTAGCTAAAATGCTAAAGTTGTCCTTGAGATTGGAACTTGCAACCTTTGGGTTGCTAGACATTCGTTGCTAGACGTAGTAAGTAGTTTAGGAGTTAGGTTAAGGCTAGATGAAGGGTTAGCTAACATGCTAAGCAATTGTGAAGTAGCTCAAAAGTAGTAAGTAGTTGAAAAGTTGCTAAAATGCTAAAGTTGTCCTTGATGAGATTTGAACTAGCAACCTTTGGGTTGCTAGATGTTCACGTTATATGCCCACCCATCCACCCTTGTTTTCGGTATGTAACCATATCAAACGTAACATATCATACTATTGAGTGTCCCGGATTTACATTTACTTTGTTACGTCTAGTCTATGAGACCAGGCTGCGAACACTGGATACTTTGTTATTGCACTAAAACTAGTTAGCATTGGCTCGCAAAACTCTCTCTAAATTCCTTCATACTGGACACGGAGACATAAAAATGGTATCCACAAGTTCATCTGACTATGGGGAAGTAGATAAAGGCATCCTTGCCAAATCCCGAAGTATCTCTAAGTCCCTTAGTTAAGCAAGGAGGAATTCAAGATCAGCACTTACCATCAAGATCATCATAACCCAGAACGACGTCATTGACCTCTCCATTCTTGCCTTTACACTTGATGGCTGTTATGATGCACCCTAGTGTTATGATTTCCACTGTGATGTTGGACGATTTCAGGGTCCACTTCTTTACACGTCCTTCTCCCGGTACCTCACCGAATTCCTCCATTAGTACCAGTGCCATGTTGCCTGAACGTCAGACTTATCTTTGACACGATTTCTCACTTTGATCATATGAACTTGCACACGGAAATGTTTGTCGTCAATGGACAATAAAGAAACAATAGGCTGGTAACATTCACGAGAAACTTTGTTGCAAGTTCCAGATGGAAACATGTGCGTAGCCTGCAACACAAATCATGGACTTTGTACTTCAATGTAACATTTTAATGTTTATGATCTTTGCGTCCGTATTATATGACGTATTGATTGATGTCATCAGAAGAGGACATAATATTTGTAGTTCTATACATTAACAGGAGTGTGAGGTTAGAGTAGTAGGCCTACATACAGTTCATATCAGTATATATATTAGTAAGTAAACTTAACTGTTTTCACACGATTAAGTAGACCCACTATCAATTTAATAATATACATTTTATTGAGAGATTACAGAACACAGAAATGAATCAATTTGATATTTTTCAAGTTATCCGTTCCTGTAAACGACCTCGTCAGTCGTTTGTGTGTGTGTTTGTGTGGGTCCCAGATGCCCTTTCCTGATGGCCATTATGGCAGCACATGTTTTAGGCAGCTGTGCTCTTGCAGGATCTAATCCCATGGTCCACTGCATCTGATGATCTACTTTCCCTGTTGCTCGGCCATGCCTTCAGTAGAGGGCACAGAGGGCAGAGCCAGTCATCTCTCCACAAGGTATTTACACAGACAAACAGACAGGGTGTTGAGATGCCGTGAACAACAATGGGTTTTGTCATCTGGTGTGATGTAACAATTTTAACTCAACATCCACTTTACTGGAGATGTCATGTCACACCTGAGGGGCTTTTTCCTACCCACATGACAAAACAGACAAGTGCATTTCTATCATTCAACAACACATGGAAGCATTCTGAGGGTGGAGCACGGTGAGTGGTGTTTTTTAAAGCTCCCTCTCTTCCCTTCCTATCAGCAGCCGTGGTGGAGACCGAGGCCAAATTGGTTCAATTAAGATAATCATTATTTGAATCAGGTAGCAAACCACTCAAACTGAACAATCGTCTCAGACAGCCTCCTGAGACTGACAAAGAGAAAAAGAACCTTCAGTCAGAGAGAGAGAGAGAGGTGGGGAAAAAGGGACAGAACAGAGGGCTTAGCATCAGACTCAACACTGACAGATAGAGTACTGTCTCAAATTGAACACAGAGCAATTAATTGATTTATAATTATGTAAAATGCAATGCTTTACTATTCTACACTGTGCTGATAACCAAAATTATCCCATCAAAGAAGTGTGTGTGTGTGTCTGTCTGTCTTTGTCTGATGTGTGTCTAACCACAGATATCTGTATGGGAACCATCAAAGAGAAAACTTCCCAGAATTGAGCTATCAGCTGAATCACATTCACAGTCTGAGCTGCAGCCCCTGCCATGATGTAGCCTGCTAATTCACCACTCACTGGCAAGGATGGTGTATCAGAGCAGCACAGTGACACTTTAATTTTCACATCACATGGATGGAGAATACTAATGTGTTGTGGTTTAGCTATACCTACCAACATGGAAACATTTGTCTGAATCACCGTTTCAGAGAAACCACTTAAGAGGCTCTGGCACTGGAATTATATGACAGAAAAGAGAGTGCCCTTTAGAAGATACAGACAGCATAGGAATCTGGTGTGCACTCAGCAGACTCTTTCATATTGGTATTTGATACATAGCAGCAAGCTTATTTCAAATAACTTCATACATACAGGACTGCCAACAGTTCCATTATCAAAATATGCCTTCATCAAAATACATGTTCCCCAGAGGTTTTGTGTGGACCATCAGAGGAAAACATATTACTGCATTGATAATTTATTTATTAATCAGCACACAGATCTCTTAAAGCTGGCACATAAAAGGGTGAATAGATGTAATGTAAAATATGTCCTAACCAAATGTATAATATAGCATGGTGTGTTGAGCCAAAATTCATTTTTATCAAACATTTGTATAAAACCGATGCTGTGTTTGTGAACTGTTGAAGCGATTTTACATTACCATGGAAAAAAGGGTTAATTGTGTGTTTTGGTCACAATCATTATTTTAATGCAAATGCATTCACTTGAACTTGTGAACAAATACCTGCACAAATACCAGTCAGTGGTAAATGAGAGCAACCCCAGAGTTTAGTTCAATGGCTCCATCTGTTGATAGGATGTGTTCATTACAAAACAACCCCCTGGGTATTTTGTTGCCATAGGCAATAGAGTTCACATTCTGTTTCCACTACAAGACCATGGTACTTGGCTACGGAGCAGCAAGAGGAACTGCCCCTCCCTACTAGGCTATGCTCAAACCCAACACCCCAACCCGAGTACTCCATTCTGTCACCTCTGGTCTCTTGGCCCTCCCACCCCCCTGACATCTGAAACCCTACCTCTTCAAAGAGTAACTTAAATAATTCCACAGCCCCCCCCATTAAAAAACGTGCCTTTTGTAAACTAACACTCGCACTTGTCATATGCTGTACTACTTTGTGTCAGACTATCCCCAGAAGCAGCTTGGTGGTGATGATTTCATCTCTAGGAGACAGAACGCATCTCCTTCCTGAGCGGTATGAGGGCTGCGTGGTCCCATGGTGTTAATACTTGCATACTATTGTTTGTAAAGATGAACGTGGTACCTTCAGGCGTTTGGAAATTGCTCCCAAGGATGAACCAGACTTGTGGAGGTCTACAATTTTTGTTCTGAGGTCTTGGCTGATTTCTTTTGATTTTCCCATGATGTCACGCAAAGAGGCACTGAGTTTGAAGGTAGGCCTTGAAATACATCCACAGGTACACCTCCAATTGACTCAAATGATGTCAATTAGCCTATCAGAAGCTTCTAAAGCCATGATGTCATTTTCTGGAATTTTCCAAGCTGTTTAAAGGCACAGTAAACTTCTGACCCACTGGATTTGTGATACAGTGAATTATAAGTGAAATAATCTGTCTGTAAACAATTGTTGGAAAAATTACTTGTGTCATGCACAAAGTAGATGTCCTAACCGACTTGCCAAAACTATAGTTTGTTAACAAGAAATTTGTGGAGTGGTTGAAAAACGAGTTTTAATGACTCCAACCTAAGTGTATGTAAACTTCCGACTTCAACTGTAACAATGATGCCTAAAACATGATTGTGATTAAACAATTCAATGAACAACTAAAACAAGACACTTCATCATTTCACCCCCATAACTTGTTATTTGTTGTATTATATTTTCAGTTGTAATATTAAATCAGACTAAAGTTAGTCACTGAAGCTGTTGAGACATTGTTTATAAATTCATTGGCAACTCTTAACCAAAGTCTACATTTCAATGATCCCTTTTAATAGTGATGGCATGATTTTCACATCAGCGTGTTCATTTCCTATTTTTTTACATTCTATATACAGTACCAGTCAAAAGTTTGGACACACCTACTCATTCCAGGGCTTTTCTTTATTATTACTATTTTCTACATTGTAGAACAATATTGAAGACGTCAAAACTATGAAATCACACATATGGAATCATGTAGTAACCAAAAAGGTGTTAAACAAATCAAAATATATTTTATATTTGAGATTCTTCAAAGTAGCCACCCTTTGACGTGATGACAGCTTTGCACACTCTTGGCATTCTCTCAACCTCCTCCATGCTTCACGGTGGGAACCACACATGCGGAGATCATCCCTTCACCTACTCTGCGACTCACAAAGACACGGCGGTTAGAACCAAAAATCTCAAATTTGGACTCATCAGACCAAAGGACAGATTTCCACTGGTCTAACATTTACATTTACGTCATTTAGCAGACGCTCTTATCCAGAGCGACTTACAGGAGCAATTAGGGTTAAGTGCCTTGCTTAAGGGCACAGACAGATTTTCACCTAGTCGGCTCGGGGATTAGAACCAGCGACCTTTCGGTTACTGGCACAACGCTCTTACCCACAGGTAGCTTACCCACTAAGCTACCTGAGATCCCAGATTGCTCATGTGTCTTGTCCCAAGCAAGTCTCTTCTTCTTATTGGTGTCCTTTAATAGTGGTTTCTTTGCAGCAATTCAACCATGAAGGCCTGATTCACGCTGTCTCCTCTGAACAGTTCATGTTGAGATGTGTCTGTTACTTGAACTCTGTGAAGCATTTATTTGGGCTGCAATGTGAGGTGCAGTTAACCCTAATGAACTTATCCTCTGCAGCAGAGGTAACTCTGGATCTTCCTTTCCTGTGGCGGTCAGTTTTATAATAGCGCTTGATGGTTTTTGAGACTGCACTTGAAGAAACTTTCAAAGTTCTTGACATTTTCCGGATTGATTGACCTTCATGTCTTAAAGTAATGATGGACTGTCGTTTCTCTTTGCTTATTTGAGCTGTTCTTGCCAAATAAATTCCACAAATTAACTTTTAACAAGGCACACCTGTTAATTGAAATGCATTCCAGGTGACTACCTCATGAAGCTGGTTGAGAGAATGCCAAGAGTGTGCAAAGCTGTCATCAAGGCAAAGGGTGGCTACTTTGAAGAATCTCAAATATAAAATATATTTGGATTTGTTTAACACTTTTTTGGTTACTACATGATTCCATATGTGTTATTTCATAGTTTTGATGTCTTCACTATTATTCTACAATGTAGAAAATAGTAAAAATAAAGAAAAACCCTGGAATGAGTAGGTGTCTTAACTTTTGACTGGTACTGTAAATGTACAGAAAGACAATATGCAGAAGCTCATGGAGCTCTAGTCAGATCTCATAGTCAGTCAATCATGCATTAGTTATACACACAAAACACATTAGAAATGTGAAACAATTTTAAGTACACAACTCCAATATGGACTGAAATTATATTTTTATTTGTGTGCAAGAAAGACACAACCTATGATAAAAACGCAACTTGAGTCTCCCATACATGAAATGTGACAACAAAATATATAAACTCAGTAAAAAAAGAAACGTCCCTTTTTCAGGACCCTGTCTTTCAAAGATAATTCATAAAAATCCAAATAACTTCACAGA